CGGCGACGGCGGCGGCGGCGGCAGCGGCGGCGAGCGGCGGCGGGGCCCCGGGATGGCGAAGGCGACGAAGAGCCTCCCGACCGCCTGTCCCGCAGAAGCCCATCTCTTCATGGTGGCCCACCTCACCTTTTCCTCACCATCTTTCTCCCCGCGGGGGAGGAAGGAGGAAAAGGAGGTGGAGGAGGGAGGTAGGGAGGGAAGGAGGGAGGTAAGGAAGGAGGAGGGAGGAGGGAGGAGGGAGGGAGGAGGAGGGAGGAGGGAGAAGGGAGAGGAGGGGGGGAGGAGGAAAAAGAAGGAGGATGGTTTTCGTTTCATTTCAACCACTGCCGAGTTCATGCTCACTGGCGTGGCGGCCACAGCAGCAAACGATGAATCCTAAGCCGCCTCGTAACCTGAAACACTCGCTGGACGCGGGCGGGGAGCATGGGCTTCTTCACGCCTCGCAGATTCGGCAGCTCGGGTGGGGGAGGCATCAACGGCGTTGACTCTCTGCTCTTCCTCCTCCAAGGGGAGTGCGTAACAGGAGGCACGGGGCCGACTGGGACCGGAAAGGGCCAGGTCCGGCTCTCCCTCTGCTGCCCCGGGCAGGCAGTCCACGGTTACATCAGCGCGTTCGGGGTGTCTGCCGTTGCAGATCGTGCTCCAGATAGGGAACTATACACCGGCGCTTTTTCCGACCCTGCGCTGATATTCGCACAGGAACGCTGATCCTGGTGTATACGGGATCCTGGTGTATACTTTTCGTTATTTCCCCTGGAAAACGGGGGAAAAGTATACACCAGACCACCCCGACGTCGTCCCCGACCCTCGAAAAGTCGTAGGATTGAAAAACAGCCCGCCACTGGTAATGTACACGTTCCAGTTTCCGACTAGACCCACTTGCTGAGACGACATGGGGGAGGAGAGCAGGGGTCCTTCAGTGCAGCAGCTCTTCCGTGGGAGCTGTAAGCCCTGCACGTGGAAGGACGAGGGAGGAGAAGAAGGGGGGAGGAGGAGGAGTACGAGGAGGAGGCGGAGGAGGAGGAGAAGGGGAGAAGAAGAAGAAGAAGAACATGAACAAGAACAAGAACCACAACATCAACAAGAACAAAATAACAAAAATAACAACGATAACAACAACAACAACAACAACAACAACAACAACAACAACAACAACAGCAACAACAACAACAACAACAACAACAACAACAACAACAACAACAGCAACAACAACAAAAACAACAACAACCACAACCACCACCACCACCACAACAACAACCACAACAACAACCACAACAACAACAACAACAACAACAACACCAACAATTAAAAAAACAAAAACAAAAACAAAAACAGCAATGATAACAACAACGATGACGACGACAACCACAACACCAAAAACAACAACAGTAGCAGCAGCAATAACAACAACTACTACTACTACAACTACGACTACGAAAACAACAAGAAACCCAACCTCATCCACAACAACAACGACGACAACAACAACAACAACAATAACAACGACGACGACGACGACGACGACGCCAACGACGACGACAACGACGACAACAACAACAACAATCGGTTTAAGACTGTTCGCCCTCATCTGCTCGAGTGTCCAATAACGCGTATTTCCCAAAACCCTCGATACCCGCCCTCTTCGTCTTCGATCGAACCCCTTTTGGGGGGTATACCTTTCTTCCCTGCAGGCCGGGCCCCGGCAAGCGGCGGGGCAGCCGCGGACCGTCGGCCTGGCCAGCGGCAGCGCTGATCGGCGGGGCGGCCGCGGACCGTCGACCCGACCCCAAGAGGGACGGACAGGGGACCGACCACGACGACGACGACGACGACGACGACGACGACGACGACGACGACGACGGCGACGACGACGACGAGCGAAAGCGAGAGAGAACGACAGCAGGGCTACGAAGGACACGAAGTAGGCCACGAAGGGCGACAGCGGGGACACGAAGGGAATGCGTATGGGGCCACGAAGAGCGCAAACGAGCGGGGGCCACGAAGGGCAGATAATGCTGGGCCACAGAAGGCAACGATGGGGCCACTGAGGGTAGCAACTGGGCCACGTAGGACAGTGAGGGGGCCACAAACGGCGACAGCGGGGCCACCAAGGGCATGCACATGGGGCCACAACGGGCGCGAACGAGCGGGGGCCACGAAGGGCATACGTATGTTGGGCCGCGGAGGGCAAGAACGGGGCCACTGAGGGCAGCAACGCGGCAACGGCGGGCAGCGAGGGGGCCACGAAGGGCGACAGCGGGGCCACTAAGGGCATGCATATGGGGCCACGAAGGGCGCGGACGAGCGGGGGCCACGAAGGGCATACGTATATGGGGCCACGAAGGGCAGCGAGGGGGCCACGAAGGGCTGCAACGGGGCCACGAAGGGGAGCGAGGGGGCCACGAGGGGCTGCAACGGGGCCACGAAGGGCTGCAACGGGGCCACGAAGGGCTGCAACGGGGCGACGAAACAAAGCGAGGGGGCCACGAAGGGCTGCAAC